CACACACACACACACACACACACACACACACACACACACACACACACACACACACACACACACACACACACACACACACACACACACACACACACGAAATTTGATTTTTGCTAGATTTTGCTCTAGGAGTGGATTTGCAAAACCAGACCCGGAATGCTACGGTCGGGCGCCCATTTCTCTGGTTGAGAAATACAATGGTGAGATCAATCATATCAACAGCCTGGAAAACACAGGGCTGTGTTGGGCTTCTGGTGGGACCCCAGCTGCCATTATCCCCAGGCAGAAAGGCGATTAACCCTCAAGGACTGGGGATAATGGGAAATGGAAGTCCTGCACATCAGAAAAGGGCTGGAGAAGGGGGACCTTTTGACGGAGGAAATATCGTGTTAGTTGTTGCAGCAAAGACCACACGCACCCCCGGGGCAGCTGAAAACATTTTGTATTTCAAACCCCGCTGTGTTTGAAAAGCACAGACCATTTTTAGTTTTCGATGCATGTTGAGAGAGAGAAATCCTCTACTGATGCAGACATCGGCTGTCAAGTCCAATCCAATGTCCATTTTGTGGACTGCATAAAATACAGTGGGTGTTGCCACCTGTGTGGTATATATTGTGTTGTCTAATAGTGTGTTGTGTGTATGGTATGTTTGAAAGAACTGAAGAAGGAAGCAAAGTGGTTCATAAATACTCCTGTGAAGGTGGAAAAGCCAGCTTTAAGTGTCATGGTTTTATTGTAGTCAACCCTGATTTTAGATGAGGGGTTTAGATGTTTGATGGGCATATTTTGATGGGCGTAAGTTTTTGTGAGGCATCGCCTGCTCCTTTATATGGCTGTAACCTAGCTAAACCAGACCTCTCTGCATACAAAGTGATATATCATAGTGTCCATACTGGTTCATATTTCACTTATATACACACCCACCCACACTCCCTGGTCACTCTGCTACCTAAAATGGTGTTTATATCCTGTTTTTTCTTCATGTCAGTCCCTCGACAGGGAGGGAAAACAGGTTTGATTCCCGGGCAAAAGCTCAAATCTCACTCTAGCTCCAGTCTCTCCTCATTGTTTCAGTTCTTTTTAACCCAAAGGACAGCTGAAATGAGCGCTTCTGAATTTTCAAAGCACTGAGTCACTCACATCTATCATATCTATCGCAACAATCTGACCTTGAGGGAAAACAAACTCAGCTGTCATTCATTTCCTTGCAGGCCGATAAATATTCCAGGATTGTAAAAAGTTCATTCTCTCTCTCTCTTTTTTTTGCTTTGGAATGTTGAGCAATAAAGCATCTGAAAAACCGATGGAAAAAAACAGGAGAAAGAGATGCATTATTATTATTTTTAAAAATTTCTGCAATGAGCCGCCAGCACGGACTGCAGAAGCTTTAAAATGATTGTGAACAAACAGGCTTTGGGGGTGGCAATGTTGGAGAAAGACTCAGTTTCATAAGTTTGATTCGGCAACAGGAATAGCTAAATTCATTGCCGACTGTTTTGCTGTGTGTTTCGGACATAAGGCGGATTCACAGATTGTCACCCTGCGGTGGATAAGACCAAGCAAAGGAGACAGTGCCCTTTTAAAAGGGTGAAATTAAGAAGTGTGAAATATTCTTGGTGTCTGGTATTCACCTGAATAGGTACCTGAGAGGGTGTTTTGAATCGGGGGGGGTGGGAATCTGCTTTTGAAAAATCCTGTTTTTAAACCACAGATTTCCGATCTGGGCCAAGAGGTGTAGAGATATTTAAAGGTAAGGAATCCCTAGGTGGCATTCCCCACTTTAGCATCATCCTAGTCAGTGCGAGGTGGTTTATTCTTCTGGAAATCTGATGAGTTTCATTGTCCCCCCCCCCCCCCCGCCACACCCTGCATGGCAGCAGCTTGAAATTTGCTTCCAAATGGACTATCTCCTTCCATTTGAGCTGCACGGGGCACCAAAATTACCAATGCAAAAGTCGGGTGAGGGAAATTTGGTGGCCGTAGAACAAAGGGACACACCCTCGCTTGCCCTGATCCATCCCAACATACAATCACGCCCAGTGGTACCCTGCCATTTCCTGGGATCCCATCTAAACATTTCAAAAAGTGCTGCCTTTGCAAGCCAAATCCCTTGTGAATCTTGGTGGGCTTGTTTTTTTTAAATCACCACCACTTTGCCAAATTTCAGAGCTGTTATGCTGGGATAAAACGTGCGTCGTTCGGATAAAGAAGCGGCTCGTGGTTTTGCCATACCAGCTAAGAGTGTTCTAAATCCCCCTGTCTGTTTTTCCCCACAAGGTATTTACACTGTGCAATTATAGCCATTTGATACCAGTGAATGGTCCTGGCTTAGAATCATAGAAGAATTCATAAAATTATGGAGTGGGAAGGGGCCTCGAAGGCCATCAAGTCCAACCCCCTGCTCAAGGCAGGAATCTAAATTAAATTATATCTGACGGACCCCCCTGCTCAAGGCAGGAATCTAAATTGAATTACAGTATATCTGACAGAGGGTCGTCCAATTTTCTCTTGAAGGCCTCCTGAGTTGGAGAGCTCAACACTTCCCACCATTGTCGGTTCCGTTGTCGTACTGCTCTAACAGTTAAGAATTTTTTCTTGCTATTCAGCCTAAATCTGGCTTTCTGGTGCTTGAGCCCATTATTGTAAGAATTACCAGCAGAACCTAGTAATCATTCACTAAACCCGATCAGTGGAATACTAAGGAGAGATTACTCACAGAGTCACTAGTTAAACAGCTTCAAGATGCTGTTTTATGACTCTCAGATTCCCTCACCATGGGCTATGTGGTGATAAGCCTGATGGGAGTTGTGATCCAAAAGCACTTGGAGGGCTATAGTTTATACACTTCTTGGTGTACTTCAAACCTGGCCTGGCAGCTGAGCAGGGCCCTCCTCCTATATCTCCAATGAATGATTCTTGGAGGTAGACTGCTTCCGAACATGGAAGTTCCTCTGAAATTTCGTGGCTCATCAAGGCTGAAAGATTTCCCCTCTCCAAGTGTAATCTAAAACCTTTAAAGCAGATTCTAGCTGCCTGGCTGACGGATGATGAGAACGGCTGTGTGGTTTAGTGGTGAGAGTTTCAGTTCCTGGTTTTGGAAGATCCTGGTTTTTGTTTTTCCTGTAAAATGTAGGGA